TTTTTTTTTTTTTGAGACAGGGTTTTTCTGTGACAGTCCCGGCTGTCATGGAACTCACTCTGTAGACCAGCTGGTCTAACACTCACAGAGATCCACGTGCTTCTGCCTCCTGAGTACTGCGATTAAAGGCCCGTGCCACCACCACCTGGTCCAGCTATATTCTTAAAATGTGTGCACCGTGGGGCTGGAGAGAGGCTCAGTGGTTAAGTGCACATTCTGCTCCTCCACAGGACTGCAGTTGGGCTGCTCAAGACCACCTGTAACTCTGGCTTCAGGGTCATCTCATGCCCTCTTCTGGCCTTCAAGGGCACCTACACTCATGTGCACACACAGTGATACATAAATAAAAATAAATCCTAAGGCCAGACATGGTAGTACACACCTTTAATCCCAGCGCACAGGAGGCAGAGGCAGGCAGATCTCTGTGAGTTCAAGTCGAATTCCAGGACAACCAGGCTACACGAAGAAACCCTATCTTGAAAAAAGACAAAGAAAAAATGAGCAGGTGGCACCTTAAACTCCGGATGCTCTATCTTTCTGTTGTAGAAGACTTCAGCGGCAGGCTTATGAGACCATACCTGGCTTTGGATTATGGCCTCTTATTCACTTTGTAACCTAGCCTGGCTTTAAACTTGTGACAGTTCTTCTACCCCACACTCAGAAATGCTGTGATTACAAGTATGTGCCGCCTTGCCTGGCTTTTATTAGACTTTGAGATGGGGTCTCACTGTGTAGCCCTGGCTGTCCTGGAACCCACTCTGTAGACCAGGCTAGCTTCAGTTTAGATTGACCCACCTTCCTCTGCCTCTGAATGCTGGGATTGAAGGTGTGCCTCACCACAGTCAGCATGACCAGTTTTTAAGAACATGCTTCTTGGAGCTTCAGAGATGGCTCAGTGGCTAAGAAAAGACACTGCTCCTTTGTAGGATCTGAGTTCGCTTCCCAGCACCCAAGTGAAGCAGCTCACAGCCCTTACACACTGGCGCAAACACACATAATTAAAATGTTTAAGTCGTCTGCCGGGTGGTGGTGGTGCATGTCTGTAAACAGAAGTTTCTGTTCAGCCCTGTCCTGCAGCCGTTCAGTCCCAACTAAGCACACAGAGGCTCATATCAATTATAAACAGTTTGGCCTTATTGCTCAGGCTTATTACTAACACACTCTTACAGCTTTAATTAACCCATAATTCTTTTCTGTGTTTAGCCCCATGGTTTGGTACCTTTTCTCAGTGAGATATTCTTATCTTGCTTCCTCTGCATCTGGCTGGCAATTCACTCTTTGTCCTATTCCCAGAATTCTCTTTGTTCCTATACTTCCTGCCTGGATACTGGTCAAAAGCATTTTATTAAACCAATATGAGTGACAAATCTTTACAGTGTACAAGAGCATTATTCCACATCACTTACACACACAGAGACAGGCAGATCTCAGTGAGTTCGAGGCCAGCCTGGTCTACAGAGTGAGTTCCAGGACAGCCAGACTACACAGAGAAACCTTGTCTCAAAATATCATTAAAGAAAGGATTTTTTTTTTTAAAGAGTTTAAGATGGTTTCCTGGTGAATGTGCCTGCTGCCAAGCTGTTGACCTGAGTTCTATTCCCAAGAGTCACACAGTGGAGGAAAGAGCCATCTCCTGCAAGGTGCCCTTTGACCTGTATATGTGCATTGTGGCACACATGCTGTGGCAGGTATGCGCCCCCTCCCAATAATAAATAAAAACGTGGAACAAATTTTAAAAATACTTTTAGCATTTTTTTTTTTTTTTAGACAGTTTCACTATGTAGAGCAGGCTGGTCTCAAACTCACAGGAGTCCACTTCTTCTGCCTCCTAAATGCTGGGATTAAAGTTGTGTGCCATGTAACTCCACTAACATTTTTTCTTAAAGTGTGTGTGTGTTGGGAGGGGTGGTGTTTGTGTTCATCAAAGTAGCCATACATGTATATAGAGGTCATAGGTCAACATGGGTTTGAGTCATGACGTTGTTTGCTGCCATGTTCACCAGGCTAACCGGTCTGACAGTTTATGGGAATTCTCCTGGCTCCACCTTCCCATCTCCCTGCAGAAGGATTGGGATTACAAGGGCTGCCTGCCACACTGGAGATTTGAACTCAGGTCCTCGCACTTATACAGCTAGTGTTTCGCCCATCAAGCTGCCTCCCCCACCCTTTTGAAGCAGTTTTAATGGTCCCCTCTCATTCAGACATTCTTTTTTACACAATGGACATTTATAGGCGCCAACTCCAGGCCAGGTGCCAAAGCCTTGTGGGGCATGGCACAGTGCCTTCCTCCTGAAGCTCCCAGGTTTTATAGAGGACCGGCTTGGGAGCAGCTGGCTGTACTCTCCAGTGGGGTAGACTTATCCGGACAGAGGCTATACCAGAGCTAACATGGGGTCTGGCGGAGTGGGTATGGGCTTACCCTTGAAGGGAGGGTGATTGGTGGTTACACTGTAAGAAAGGCTGCTGGGAAGGTTGGAGGCAGGCAGTGGTGAGGGTGGGAATTTAGGACAGAAGGCTGTCCCTTCCCAGAGTGGGCCCCTGGCCAGGGCCCGTAGGAAGCCTGCCATCTTCAAGGGAGGTGGAGCTGGGGTCTCCCGGTGGGGGTGGGCATTGATGGTGACCTCCCTCCATCCCTGTCCTTCTCATCATCTCCCTTTCAGTGTATGCCTGAGGTATTGTTCCTCTTTTGTAAAGCGGGGGATCGGGTAACAAAGCCGGGTGGGTGGGCAGGCAGCCCGAGGGGCCTCTTCTCTCTCCAGACAGCATCTACACTGAGGGGTAGGCGGTTCAGCAATGTCCCATACTCACAGGCACACCTCTGACTTCCCAGGAGCTGGCTGTTGCCATAGTGACAGGCAGGCCTTGCCTCCCACTGGCCCCTGGAATACCCTCCCCACTAAGGCTGCCAGAGTTAGGGCCCCCAACTCTTTTGCATCCTGGAGTGGGAGGCAGGGACATACAAAATAGGGCTCCCAGGCCAGGCTCTGCCTCCTCGCTGGCTGTGAGGAAAAGGACAACTCCAGAAGAGAGCCCTAGTCATTCTGACAGGTGTTCAGGAGGCAGGGCTAAACCTTGCGATCAGAAATAAATGCACACTGACCCTGGTGCCTGGGGTGGATGTTGGTACTCTGCAAAAAGAGAAGGGAAAGATGGATAGAGGGCCCATGGGGTGGGTAAGGACACCGGAGGGGTGAAGATAGGCCCTGGGGTAGGGACTGGAGGGAGGAATGTGAAGGGAGGGAGGGTCTCTGAGGATGGCACACCCAGGGATCTTCCTGACTCCCCCTCCACAGCAGGATGATCACATGTGTGTCACACTGCCTGGTTTTGTGCGTAGGTGCTGGGGAGCCGAACTCAGGTGCTCATACTTGCCTGCAAAGTTCTTGACTGCTAAAGCCATCTCCCCAGGCCCACGTTTAGGGTCTTGCAGCAGTGCCTCTGGGGACTTCCAGGACTGAGTGTGGTGCACAAGGGCTGGCAGCATCTTCACAAAGCCCCTTCTCTTCAGTCCTTTCAGAAGTAGAGGGGCTGGGTACATGCCAGTGACAGCATATGCTCGTCTTTGTCCCTGCCAAGCTCCAGCTCAGCTCTCAGGGAGTTGAGAGACAGTGGGAAATGACTGTTCCATTTTCTCACTGTGGCCATCAGCATTGTCCCATCTCCTTCATGAATCCCAGCTCTAAATATAGCGGCCGGGTATTGGTCAAGCCGGAACACTTGGGCATCTGACTTTCCGTGAGTGTGTGTGTGTAATAGGGAGACAGGCAGACAGGCAACTTCAAGCAGGGAAACAGAGTGCCTGCCAGCCCTGATCCCTAGGAGGCATGTGAGTCTGAGTAAATACTTTCACCTTCAAACTTGTGCAGTGGCCACCGGCTTTCCTGGAGGACCATCATGAGGCTGAAAATACCACTATGCAATGCCTGGCTCGGGCAGAAAGTGGTGCATGCCTGTCATCTCAGCACTTGGGAGGTGGAAGCCTCCGGGTGAGAAGTTCAAGGTCAGCCTTTGATGCTAGCTTGGACTACACCAAAAAGTCTCAGAAAGAAACATACCAGGAATTGAGATAGACCAGGGGTTAAAAGCACTGGCTGCTCTTCCAGAGGACCTGGGTTTAATTCCCTGCACCCACATTCCAGTTCCAAAGCACTCTCCTGGCCTCACGAGGCACCAGGCACACACATGAGACACAGACATACACATAGGTAATAAATACACCTACACACATAAGTAAGAAAATTTAAAAATTAAAAACAAACCAAAACAACAGCAAAACAAACAAGAGGAGGGTCCAGAGATGGCTCAGCAAAAAGGTCACGATGACCTAAGATCAGTGGGCAGGTTTCATATGGTGGACGGAGAGAACTGAGTCCCTCAAACTGTTCTCATGAGCATGCACATTTGTGAGTGTGCAAACCTGTGCTTGCATGAGATACACACACACACGGTTGTGTATGTGTGTAATTAAATTTAATGAAAAGAAAACCAGACCACCAAAGCTTGGTCTGGGCAAGTGGATTAGTTGGTAGAATGCTCCTCTAGTATACACGAGGCTCTCCGGGTCATTAGCTCCCTAGAACAAATGGCATAAAACTCATGTGGTGGTAGCCCTTGGGAAGCAGGAGGATCAGGAGTTCAAGGTCAGCTTGAGGCCAGCCTGGGTTATATGAGACCTTGTCTCAAAAACAACACAATCAACAACAAGAAATATCCTGAAAAGGAAGAGGAGGTAGAAGAGGAGAAGAGCCTTGCTAGGGCTTGCCTGGGGCTTGGAGACCTTAATTCCCTTCCACCTAGGGAGAAAAGAACACACCTGACATAAGGAAGGTATGAATGGGTATGCCCGGGGACAGTTGAGACTGCTAAGGAATGGAAAGGAGATGTTGCCCACACATCTCCAGCGTGGCAGAGAGGCGCGGCACCTTTAAAGCGCGGCGAGGGCGGGCCCAGCGACACTGCCCCGCCCCTGGGCGTGTCTTCCCCATGACCACGCCCTCGGGCTTCGGAGCTGCGGCGGCCGGTAGCGGAGACCGCGCCGGCTCTGGCTGGAGTGGCGGCGGCAGCGGCAGCAGCGGCAGTTCTTCCAAAGGCGCCGCGCGCTCCGGGACACACGTGGGCGGTTGGGAGATGGCGCGCGGTTCGCGACGTGGCGCGCAGATCCCGGGACGCGGGATGGAGCGGCGCGAGTGAGCCCGGGCGGCCGCGCCGCGGGGCGATGGCCGTGCCACCGCTGCTCCGCGGGGTTCTGCTGCTGTGGCAGCTGCTGGCGACGGGCGGCGCGGCGCTGGAGATCGGCCGCTTCGATCCGGAGCGCGGCCGTGGTCCTGCACCGTGCCAAGCGGTGGAGATCCCCATGTGCCGGGGCATCGGCTACAACTTGACCCGCATGCCCAACCTACTGGGCCACACGTCCCAGGGCGAGGCGGCTGCGCAGCTGGCCGAGTTCGCGCCTCTCGTGCAGTACGGCTGCCACAGTCACCTGCGCTTTTTCCTCTGCTCGCTCTACGCCCCCATGTGCACCGACCAGGTCTCCACTCCCATTCCTGCCTGCCGGCCCATGTGCGAGCAGGCTCGCCTGCGCTGCGCCCCCATCATGGAGCAATTCAATTTCGGCTGGCCAGACTCTCTCGACTGCGCCCGGCTCCCCACGCGCAACGACCCGCACGCGCTCTGCATGGAGGCACCCGAGAACGCTACCACAGGCCCTACAGAAACCCACAAGGGCCTGGGCATGTTACCTGTGGCACCTCGGCCCGCGAGACCACCGGGAGATTCAGCTCCAGGTCCCGGCAGCGGTGGCACCTGTGACAACCCTGAGAAGTTCCAGTATGTGGAGAAGAGTCGCTCGTGCGCTCCGCGCTGCGGGCCAGGCGTCGAGGTGTTCTGGTCTCGCCGTGACAAGGACTTCGCGCTTGTCTGGATGGCTGTGTGGTCTGCGTTGTGTTTCTTTTCCACAGCCTTCACCGTCTTCACCTTTTTGCTGGAACCTCACCGATTCCAGTACCCCGAGCGCCCCATTATCTTCCTTTCCATGTGCTACAACGTCTACTCCTTGGCTTTCCTGATCCGAGCCGTGGCAGGTGCACAGAGTGTGGCCTGCGACCAGGAGGCAGGGGCTCTGTATGTGATCCAGGAGGGCCTGGAAAACACAGGCTGCACCCTGGTCTTCCTATTACTCTATTACTTTGGTATGGCCAGCTCACTTTGGTGGGTGGTTTTGACTCTCACCTGGTTCCTGGCTGCAGGCAAAAAATGGGGCCACGAGGCCATTGAGGCCCACGGCAGCTACTTCCACATGGCAGCGTGGGGCCTGCCAGCTCTCAAGACCATCGTGGTCCTGACACTGCGCAAGGTGGCTGGAGATGAGCTGACTGGGCTCTGCTATGTAGCCAATATGGACCCGGCAGCCCTCACTGGCTTTGTGTTGGTACCTCTCTCTTGCTACCTGGTACTCGGCACCAGTTTCCTCTTGACAGGTTTTGTGGCTCTCTTCCATATCCGCAAAATCATGAAGACGGGTGGCACCAACACGGAGAAGCTGGAGAAGTTGATGGTCAAGATCGGAGTCTTCTCTATCCTTTACACAGTACCGGCCACCTGCGTCATTGTCTGCTATGTTTACGAGCGCCTCAACATGGACTACTGGCGCCTTCGGGCCACCGAGCAACCATGTACTGCTGCCACTGTGCCTGGAGGCCGAAGAGACTGCTCGCTGCCAGGGGGCTCGGTGCCCACTGTGGCTGTCTTCATGCTCAAAATCTTCATGTCCTTGGTGGTAGGCATCACCAGTGGAGTCTGGGTATGGAGTTCCAAGACTTTCCAGACATGGCAGAGCCTGTGCTACCGAAAAATGGCAGCTGGCCGAGCCCGGGCCAAGGCCTGCCGGGCCCCAGGGGGCTATGGCCGTGGTACCCACTGCCACTACAAGGCCCCCACGGTGGTCTTGCACATGACTAAAACAGATCCCTCTCTGGAGAACCCCACACACCTCTAGAAACATAGGCTTGGCTATGGGCTATGTCTGCTCCTTCCTTGCCCTCCCCTCCCCCTTCAGAGACAGCTGAGTAACAGCTGCCCAGCTGTCAAGGTCAGGAAAGTGAGACACAGGGGCTAGGGACTAGGGTGGGAACCCAGTAAAGCTCATAGCCTTGTTCTTCCTCTCGCAGGGAGCGGGCCTAGTTGAGGCCCCAGAGGGTCCTAGGATAAGGAGGGGCAGAAAAGGGCAGGGTCCAGTGTGAAGTTTATTTAATGATGTAATTTATTGTGGCATTTCTCTGGAAGCTGTGACTGGAATAAACCCTCGTGTGGCACTGCTGTGTCCTATCTGGGCTGGAAGGAGGGAAGACAAGACAGAAGGGAGAGAAACTATATAAACAGAGGTGGAGGTGAGGGCCATGAGGTTCATCCCCCTGAACCGATTCCTGGCTCCCTGCGGAGAGGAGGGAGCCATGGGTATCTGCATTATAGGAGCACTAGACTGTGTGTGTGTGTGTGTGTGTGTGCACAAGCGCGTGTGCCCATGCTTGTGCATGTGTGTTTTCCTCTCACCTGTCTCAAGACTGAGACCCATGCCACTAAGTGTAACAAGGACACCTTCGCGAGTACCCAGGAATCCCTGGGTGTGACATGGCTATCTCTAGCCCTAGCAGCAGCATCCAGCGTGTCTGGGGAAACAGGTAAGCTGCCTTTTCAGACTTTGCTTTAGAAGATAAGGGGGTCAGGGCTGTGAAGATAGCTTGGCGGGTAAAGGTGCTTGCTGCCAAGGGTGAGGAACTCACATAGTGGAAGGGACCTCACACAAATGGATTTTAGACAACCACACGTGCACTGTGGCACAACTCCCTTCTAACACACAAATAAAGAAATGCAATGTCTTTTAAAAAGAAAGTGAGGGAGTTGGATTGTTTCCAAGTCATCCCCTCTACTACTGAGTCCAGAGGACGGCTATCCTCTTTATCCATGAAGATTGCTGGGAGCTAAGGATGTAGCTCAGTTGGTAGAGTGCTTGCCTAGCATGCATGAAGCTCTGGGCTCCATCTCCAGCATGCCTTAAAAGAGGCGTGGCTGAGCATGTTTGTAATCCAAATACTTGGGAGGTATAGGCAGTAGGATCAAGACTCAAGGGCATCCCCGAGCTACATGAGGCTCTATTTGGAAGAAAAAAATAAAAAAGGGAAGGGGCAGGCCAGATGGCTCAGCAGGTCAAGTTGCTTGCCACCAAGCCTAATCAGAGTTCAATTCCTTGAACCCCCTTGGTAGGATAGAACCAACTCCCACAAACCTCTGAACGCCCCCATAAATAGAAAATATTTTTCAAAGAATTGTTGTTTTGTAAGTTAGAAAGAAGCCTTAAAAAGAAAAAAAAACAGCATTAACATCAACAACTCTTCAATAACAGCAACAAAACAACAAAAACCAATCTGTGGTTGGAGGCTCAAGCCTCCTATTTTTGGGTGGATGGAAGGATGGGGCTCAACTGTGTATGCATCTTGGAGGTTAAGAAGCTACTGAGGTCAGTGAGAACTGTGTCTCTGGCTCCAGAACATGTGGAAAGTTTGGGTGCTGACAGTAGCTGTGAAAATAAAGGTCCACACTCAGGGGTGTGCATACCTGTGCTGGGCCAGGTGGCACATGTGTGCGGGAGGTTGGGAAAGCAGCATGTATACCTGTCTGCTAAGGAAGCTCAGGGACCTGCCCCATCCCTGTCCCGTGTGGTAGGTCTGCTCATCCCGGGGACCTCGGTCTAGGCTGTTGATGTCAACCAGTTCAATGTTTTCTGGTGTGTGTGTGTGTGTGTGTGTGTGTGTGTGTGTGAGAGAGAGAGAGAGAGAGAGAGAGAGAGAGAGAGAGAGAGGTTGTGATTTGACCTCAGGTCCTTACACTTGCACAGCATGTACCCAGTGAGCTATCTTCCCAGTCCCTAGACAAAGATCTTGATCACTGTGCTTGGATGTATTCTACACATAGGCAGCCACCCTCAAAGTTTTTTTGTTTAGTTTTTGAGAAGGTCTCTCTACACAGCTCTGGCTGTCCTGGAATTACGTAGTCTAGGCTGGCTGCCTGCCTCTGCTTCCTGCATGCTGGAACTAAGGCATGCATTACCACACCTGGCTAAGTAAAGTTTTAGAAATTGTTTTATTGAACCTCAGCCCTCCCTTCATGACTTTTTGTTATCTTGTTAGCTGAAGTGGGAGTAAGAAACACAAGACACCTCAATTACATGGGGTTATCTTTGGGAGTAGGAGATGTATGCAACTGAACCGTGATATAACTAGATATGGTTGCACACAATACTTTACTTTTGCTTTGCTGGGGATGAACCCAGGACTTGAAGCATGCTAGACAGGTGGTCTAGCATTGAGTCACACCCTCAGGCTTTCCTAGTAAATTCTTTATACTGTTTACTGCATGTATGTAAGGAGCATTCATTCATCCCATGTCTTTGAACTTGCCTTGTATCTCATGCAAGGGTTCTTACATAAGAGCTTTGACAGCCCACACTGGGAGTGGGAAGGTAGTGGTTATGCAGGAGTTGCTCATGGACCTGTAGCAGGAACTTGGCAGCTAGATACCTGGAAAGGGAAAGGCAGGGGGTTGCACTGAGGGAAGAGGGAAGCATTTAATGGACAACCGGTGTACCCCTCTGCTCTTGACAGTCTGTGGGTAAGGGAGGTTCGTACTTGGCCATCAGGGCAACAGAAACAAGACTATTGGCTTCTAGAGAAACCAGGAGGGAAGATGGGAAACATGGATGGGCAGTGAAGGGCACGTCTCAAGACTTCTCATTGGTCAGAATTTGGGAGGGGAAGCAGGCCATGCCAGCACAGGCTTCCCAGCCACAGAGTATGCTGGGAGCCCAGACTCTGGAGGCAGGGGAGGCACTGCCTGGAGTTTTAGACCCTGTTTTCCCTGTTCTATAGCAGGGGTATGTTTGGAGAGGGCCACAGCCTCTCACCGGGCTGGGGTGTTTGCTCCAGGTAGGTGCTATGCCATTGTCACTTTCTGAAACAAGGTCTACATTTCCTGGGCCAGCTTTGAACTTGTGATCTTTGCTCAGCCTCTGTACAGGCATGGCTTTCAGTAGCTACTTTAACATTCAGATGCCACTTCGGTGCCACTAACCATACCCTGTGGCAAAAAAGGACTTATAGAGGAAGGGTGGAGGATGCAGAACAGGGCCAGTATCATTGCTGGAGGACGGCATGGCTCCACACACATGTACCTGTGACATCCAGCTGAGGAGCAGCAGATGTGGGCTGGGAGCCACTGAGGAGTAAGGACACTGAGGGTGACTGAACTGGTGAGGTAGTGGTGGTGTCTGAGGCTGTTTTCTCCCTTGTGCTCACTGCAGGCCAGGCTGGTGGAAGTCAGTAACAGACCTTAGGCAGGCCTGTGTCTCTCTGATTCCCTTCCTGACAGCTTCCCTGGGGTAAGAGGCCAGCAAAACCTTCCAATTCCATAGGCAGACTACCACCGCCCAGCAACAAACTGCTCAAATCCACTGACTTTAAAAATCGAAGCACAACTAGAACAAGGAGCTGCAGGACAGAGTTGCAGCAGCCACGTGCATGCCAGCTCAGTGCACTGTTCCCAGGGCTGTGCTGCCCACCACTGCCCCAAGAGAAACAGAGGTCGTCAGAGCTGTCTCTTCTTTATAAACACAAGTACATAATGTTTATTTGAAATCCAATTTATTACAAGTCTACCCTTAACCCGGCCCTTCCTCCTTTAAGACAATTTAAAAAGCCACCATGCAGATGCCACTGCAGTGGAAATACCAGCTTTCTGCTAAAACCCAGTTAGAAGCAGGGAGGCAGTGGTGGCAGGGTTCACGGCGGCAAAGTTAGTGCTTACCCCAACCAAGCCTACAGAAGACAGGAGGGAACCCTCCTCAGCCACTGGACTGAGCTACATAGACGCCACAGCCAGGCCTTCCCTCAGCCTCCCGAGTGGTGAGTCTCCTTATGTGGTGAGCTTCCTTTCCTTCTTTTAAGTAAAGAGAGCTGAGGGACTCACATTTTACAAATTCAAAATCGATAGAAAAGAAAACCCTGTCTTGTACTTTTATCAAAATCTGTCATAAAAGGGAAAGCAGACTACAAACTTTTGCCTAAATACAACACGAGGCTAGACTGGCTGGGAAGGGCAGAGCTGGCCCTCCCCAGCTGCTCCTGTTGCTGACACCAACTACCATCCACTGAGGAGATTCGGAAGGAGCACTAGTCTGCAGGTGAGCCCTGGAGGAACAGGCGCACAGGAAAGTAGAGTACCACCAGGGCAGAGAGAGGGCTCCGTCCCCAGATCCCGCTGCCTGCTGGCCTCTCTGAGGAGTAAAGCAAACACATATCATAGAAACTGTACTATACATGTGCCAAAGCAAGATGACAAGTATTTTTTACAAGATGTTCTTTATACAATATCACTGCGGAAACAAGCAACTTTAGTAACTACAAAAGTCAATTTAAAAAATTAAACATTTTAACTTCTTCCTGCTCTTTTTCGGCTCCCTAGGGGCTTGTCTGGTTTGTGGGTGGGCTGGGCTCCAACACCCTTCTGGCCAGACCCATCAAAGCCAAGGTCATAGCATGATTGAAAGCAGGACTCCAGTCTCTATGGGAAGTGCCTTCGTTTGCTTGGTTTGTTATGAGGTGGTGAGCTGGGTGAGGGGTAAGGGCTGCCACAATGGGGAGGGTGCTTAGGAGCAGCTCCAGAAAATGTCCCTCTACTCTGCCATGATCAACTCAAAGCCCACACTGTCCCAAGATGCTGGTGAACACACAACTCTGTATGGCACTAGCTGATACTGTCACCTGAGAGGGAGGAGGAAGAGACAGTGTGGACATAAGAAATAGGACTGTATATAAATATAAATTCAAAAAGATCCACACCTCGACCAGCATGGCCAGATGATGCTCCTTCCTACTGTGGGGTACAGTACCCTCTCTGGAGACCAGGGGGCTTGGCACTGCTGTAAAGACGAGGCGGGCAGGAGGAGGAAGAGGAGGAGTAGGGCAGAGCTCACAGAAGCCATAACAAGGCTTCTCCCAGCTCTCAGAACTCAGGTGAGGAGGCCCACTTTGCTGCTAGCTTTTCTGGGCAGGGTTCACCAGGCCAGTATCA